CACGCACCAAAGCATCTCCTGCACCTTTCCACCGTTCCCACCAGCCATGGCTCTGGATTCAGTTTACTGGCTTTTTATCCCCTGCGAACCCCTCCCAATATACGCATCTCTAGATACATATATAGATATAGATTTACATATGCAAGGACCTATATCTATATACATATATTTATTTTATAAGTATATATTTTCATTTATGCTTTTAATGAAGTGCTGTGCTTTCAACTGCTGCCTTCCTCCACAGGGATCTGCTCCTGCACACGCTTTTCAGTCTGAGGAAAGAGCTCTGGGCGCTCTCGTCTGCGAGCAGCACACGGTGAGGTCGTCGGGAGCGCAGAGATGTCCCCGAGCGCCAGGTCAGCCTGCCCCGGGCTCTCCGCTGCCGTCCGCCCTCCCCAGGAACGGTGCTACTGCGGGTTCTTCAGGATGCGCCCGTGTCTGAAGTCGTAGACGTGACGACAGAGGAAAACCAGCTCGGGGTCAGTGTCCTCGGGCACCTTGCGGTGCAGAGGTGTGGAGTACTCCTCCGAGGGAGGAACCATCATGGTTTTCCTGCCTGGGATCCCTTCGACTCGACGCTTTGCCAAGGCACAAAATCTGCAAGGCAATTACACGAGAAGAGTTAGCACAGACCGGTTTCATCGACCACCGTTTCTGTCTGTCTGTCCGGAAGCCACAACCGTGGCTGCCCAGGGAAAAGGGCTGGAAGGGGAAGGGCAGGAGCACGGAGCAGAATCCAGCTCTGCTCGAGAGGAGAATGTGAAGCAGCTCTTGCTTTTGGTCCCACCCTGAGCTGCAGGAAGCTGCACAACCGTTTGTATTTCTATCCTGGTGGATGCCAGACAGTACCAAAGATGACGGCAATTAATCCACTTTGCTTTTACTACTTTGGCCTCGTTTTTGTTAAATTAGCCCCAAAAAGGGCTTATGCATCAGGCTGTTGTTTAGGCAAAGAAAGAATTCAGGATGCCTTCAAGGAACATTTCTGAAAGGTGACCTTACCCACGACCATGTGAGAAAATTCCTGCCAACAGTTATTCCAGAGGACTGGGCTGTTTGAAAGGAAACGAGCTGTTTGGATCCAAAGCTCAGGGGTTTGGTTGGTTGGTTTGGGGTTTGGTTGGGGTTTTTTGTTTGTTTATTTGTTTTCTTAAGAGTTTTCAAAGGAAAGAGAAAAAAGCATCTAATAAAGAGTTTGTAAACCAGTTGTTTCTAGGAACTCACACAGCAGAGCTCTAGGCCAGGAGCAGGAGGGCTCAGAGTGCACTAGGGCTTAAACACCCGCTCCGTGGTAAGATTGCACAGTCAACAAGACGTGCCCAGCACAACTGCAGAGATCTAAAGCACTATTCTGCATTATGGATTCCTGTGTCTGTTCAGCCCCTGCTTTCATCCTGCCCTGAGCATCCATCCAGGGATGGCAGTCTTGAATACAGATGCTCGGAAGTTCTTGCTGACAAAGTTTCAGTTCAGTCAGCGAGAGCTCAGCAGTAAAAGCCTCAGTCCCTGCTCTGAGTGACGCTGCTGCCAGGACACCCAGGTCCACCAGCACCACCCCAGTGCCTCGCAGCAGCACTGAGAAAGCCCAGCAGCAGGCTGTGTGCACGGAGCGCTCCCAGACTGCGGTACCCAACCTGTGCACAGAGCGAGCGTCGTTCATCCAGCTCCAGCCAGACCAAAGCCTGTAGGGCTGGGACAGTTCTGCTGGGTGATGGTTGGAAATGGAAAGAGAGACAAGAGCTGGAGCCCGATGAAGGTCTTGGGACCAGCAGCAAGTTAAGAGCACCACCTACCTGCAGTACTCTGCAAAGGTCAGCACGTAGCACTTCTCCTCTATGCAGGCAACACTGTTTTCATCCTGATGCCGGGATGCAAAGATCTCATTCTGCAGGAGAAGAGAAGAGGTCACCCAGCTGGCCAGGAGCCCCAGGGAGGCAGGGCCAGCTCCACACCTTCATCCATCACCTTAAAGGGGACTCTATCAAAGCATGCCCACAGCAGATACTCCTTAGAGCCAGAATTTCACAGAACCAAACACCTTCCAAGTGTTTTGGGACCTATTTATAACATGCACCAGAATTTTATCCAGCAACGTGTGAGCAAAGCATTAAGAGTTCTCCCATCATTTAGTGCTGCTCAGCACACTTTGTGAGGCCAAGTGTCCAAATCCCACACAGACAACCCACATTACAAAAGCATTTAAGCAGCAAGGCCACCACCAGCTACATCCCTCAGCCTCCTCTTCCCTCCTGGGGATGACAGTCAGCTCGTGGCCACCGCTGAGAAGCATCCCAGGAGATGAGCTTTTGCAATGCTGCACTGCTGGAAAAAAAAAATAAAAGCAGCATTTTGAAAGCGCTACTGCGACTCCTGGGGATGATGATGAGATCAGTAAGAGGGAGGAAGGTCAAGTACCTCTGCTGAGGTACTGCAGAGGCTCAGAAAAACCCCTGCAAGAGGTGCCTTTGCTCCAGCTTATCCAAAACCTGACTTTGTGCACAGACTCCACGTGGAAGGAGCCTTCAGATCACATCCAGAAAACCCAGTGAGCAATGTTCCTGCAGGCAGGAGGTCGGAGCACTCCCCACCCACACGTTCCTCCGAGCTCCTCAGGAGGTTCTTCATTTATTTTCCCTTTCCTGTGCTGGAAACCCTTCCAATTCATTTGTACAGCTAAAAATTGAAATGGGGATTGAGTAGCACTTTACTGTCTTTACTACCACCCTTTGACACATGATCTGTCTTTCTAATCCATCTCTACATCAAAGCTAAAGGAATCCCTTCTTTTCCAACCCTTTCCTCATCCCAGTTCACTGCAAAAGGCTGGTTTAGTGAGGGAAGCAGCAACAGCCTTTTTTCCCAGGGTAATTTAGGAAACTTGGCTCTGCAGCAGGCAGGACTGCTTAGAGATGGGGCAACCCAGAGAGAGGCATCTGAAAGAATTTCAGGTGTGGTTAGATCAGCAGAGACAATCTCTGGGAATAAGGATGCTCTGCACAAGACTAGAAGCATGACCTGCAGGCTCTGTTTCTGCTCATAGCCCCGAGGAAGGAGGCTGGAAGGAAAGACTGACAAAGCGGTCGCCGTTTGGGGACACGCTCAGTCAGAGAAACCGAAAACGCCACACCTTGCTGCTGCACGTTGGGGTTTTGGTCTCCTCCTGAAATCAAAACTATCTGAGTCATCTTTGGCAAGCCCAGCCCAGCTGCTCAGCCCAAACGGCACGCTCTCATTTGAAGTCTTGTGCAATTAAGCAGATGTGCAAAAAAAACCTGGCTCAATTCCTCCTGGCCAGACTGCTGGTGCTCTCTCTACACTCAAACACAACTGGATACAGTCACGCTTCTTTATGGACCAGAAAACTATCAGGTACCACATTTTGGTTTAGAAACTCATCTGTGCCCTGCAAGTCAGGCAGGTACAATTCCCTGGCTGCTCCCCAGTCCCGCTCACACCCTCTCCCTCCTCTTTTATTTTAAAGAGTAAAAAAAGGCAGAAGGCACCAAGTATTTTGGTGGGTTGAAAACAGCAGGAAATTCTCCATTCCCAGTTAACAACAGCTTGTTCTGTCACCCAACACAAGCCTGTGCAAAGCAGAGCAAGGCGTGAAGTCATAATGATTCACAGGTTTCTCCTTTTAAAAAGCAAATTCTATTATACTGGCACAACATCCTCCAATCAGTCTTTAATTCTCATCATCAATCTATACAGGAGAAGGATGATGCATCCATGTTTCTGCTCAAAACAAACAGGTTTCTGGAGTTTAAGAAGGAGATTAAGGGATTTATGATAAAAAGGCAGCACACGATACAGGTACTCCAGCATCCTGTGGAACTGCAGAGGATATTTTGCACTGAGCTCTGCATTTCTGGGGGAATTAGCACACCCTTTTTGGAAAGGCGTCTGCTCTGGGTTCGGTATAAACTCCCTCCTACGGCAGCCGTCAAAACAGCTTTTCACTTAATGCTCAGGATTTTCTCAGATTAAAGGGAGAAACATTCAAACTTAACAGAGGCAGCCACGGCGAGAACGCAGCAGCTTCTGTTACAGCCCAGAGTAGAATTCTACACGTGACAATAGACTGGGGAAAAGCCCATCTATGGGACAGCACCACTCAGCACATCTGGCAACAGCTGCGTCACAGCCAAGAGACAGCTCCCGTTCACTCGAAACAGAAGCTCAGCCCCCTGAGTTGGAGGCCACCCAGGAACGCAGGGAGATGCTCCAGCTGATCCCTTCCTCCTGCAGCAACACAGAGGCGCCAGGACACCCTCGCCCCACGTGCGGCTGGCTCACCTGGTGCATACTGGGGTTGCGGCCTCCCTGCGTGTGCTCCGGTCTGTAATACCACAGGAGGCTCATCATCAGCTCCCCTGCAAGAAAATGTATTACAATATGTCAAACCTCAGTTTTCTCACAGTGCATTCCCACCAACATCCACCTTCCACCTCCCGTTTCCTCCCTTTCGTTCCCCCAGCGCTCACGTAGCGGCAGCTGTGCCGTGATGAATATTTCACGCTGAACTACGTGTCCTTTTGTTACAGCAAGAAGCTGTATGAAGTTGGTCACGTTCCCACTCTGTTACACCTTCACCCCCTTCTACTTGTGTTACACTGTCACAGAGGTCAGTTAGGCACCAAAAAGAAAAAAATCAAAACCACCAAAAGCAAAAATCAAAGGTTTCCATCTGAAAAAAGGACCCATTCAGACGGCCAGCTGGAAAAGATGCTCATCCAAAGCTCAGTACTCGCAGCATTAACTCCATTAACTCCCAGGTTAATGCCAGAGCTGCTGGTGCAGGATGACGTGTCCACGATGGGCCTCACCACACGCTGATCACTGGTGCAGGATGATGTGTCCACGATGGGCCTCACCACACGCTGATCACTTCTTTTACACCTTTTTTTTTTAAATACCCAACTTTTAAGCAAGACCTGTGCTCTACACCATTTGGTGCAGCTCCCTTGGCTCAGGTATCGCTAGTCAGACATGGGACCTTAACATCAACACCACCCTCCTCCAATCACCACCTCTACTTGGGTCCCATCAAGAGCTTTGGCAGGTAAGCCCGTGCTCCACGCCAACTCCCAGCCCAGAGGCTGGACAGAGCATTTGAGTCAACAGCAGCTCCCGAGATGTCTGTTGCAATGAAATAATAAAGGAGATCATTGCTAATACAGGCACTTGGCAGATATTACGTGCCCTGGTTTTGATTACCAGTCCCAGGCTGGTGATTAAAGAGCATTTCAGTTCCTGGAACAATCTGAAGGAAAACCATGGGGCTAATCTCTTCCTCCTCACCACCCGCTCTGGCAGCGGTGGAGAACCCAACAAGCCTGCAGCTCTCCCGAGACCCCTCACTTCCCTGGTTCCAGTTCACCCTCACCTGTCAACACAGAGGCAGCACACGCTCCCCCTGCACAGTACCTGTTTTGGGGTCTTCCCACAGCGCCGATATCTTCGCGACGTACGGCATCGATTTCTTCCGGGGTCCTGATTTCAAGAGGACAGTATCTCGTACCCGGATAATCTCCCCGTCTCTCTCCACAGCCTGATAGCTCTTGCGAACGGCCGGCTCTGGTTCATTCTGTACCATTAGAACACACACAAAAAATAGAGAGAGTTAGTTTATTGTTTGTTACCCCAACCCGAGGCTCCTTTCGTCCTGCTGTGAACTGAAAACTCGGCTAAGCCTACTCAGAGCTAAGGGCTTCCACATACAGCATAAGACCACACGTGGCATCTCCATTTCCACCAGGTTGGTTTCTAACAAGCAAGACCAGGTCAAACAAATTACCTTTTTCTATGGGTAGGGCATTCACAGGTAAAGAAAGCTCAGGGAGGAATAGCATCCAAGTGCTCGCAGGTCATACGTGGTCATTGTTTTCAAATAAAGCAAGAGACAAAGCACAACTACTTCTCCTACACAGTGCTGCAGTAGGGAGCAGCTCACCAGTGGGACAGCAGGTCTCACAAAAGTACATACTGCTTAAATTAATGCCCTCACTTCAAATTAAAAACAACTGCTCCTTCAATTCTGCATGCAAAAAACCCCCAACCTTCAGAAAAATCCCCGTTTTATCTGCCTGCAGGTCTGCATTTGCTTCATAATCAAAGGCACAGAAATCCAGGCATGTTTTTTGCATGCTATGCATTGGTCTGACACAAACGGTGTTAGAGAAAAATAACATGGTAAGGAAACAAATAAAACTGAAACATTTCACACGAACAGGGCAGGGAGTGGCAGGGAGGCTGCGGCACAAAGCTCCCCTTCACGAGACTGCTGACACTTCCTTTGTACCCTCTAACATTACAAAACGATCACTTTTGGGACTGTGAACTGGAGGTTTTTATTTTATTTTATTTTTGCTCTGAAAACTCACTGCAGAGTGCCCAAGCAGGAGAGGTTTCATCTCCTGCCAGACTGCCCAGGCAAAATCGGAAGCGTTACGTGCCAGGACTTAAGGAGATTAATGGGGAGCTGCTCCTTTCCAAGTGTCAAAGTCTGAGCTCTGGATGCAAGAGGCCCGTCTCTGGCTTCATCCTTGCACAGCCCTCGGTACCTGTGTGCAGCCCCAGGAGCTGAACCCCAAGCCTGCCTGGATGATGCTCTGGGCAGCTCGTGGTTATACCCCGGCCCAAGCGCCAGCACGGATGACTCAGCTCAGACCACGGCTCTCCTTACTGCGCGCAGCTCAACGCCTCGTCCCACCTTCCCAGACACCACGTGGGTCCAGATTTCAAGCCCACAGCTCTTGCGTTTTAATAACATGAAGGATATTACCTTCTCTCTCAACTGAAGTGGACTTCACTGTATTAATGAAATCCCACCTTGCAGGAGTCAGTGTCTGCCCCTGAACACAACCACTGGGAAAGTACAGACAAGAAATCCTTGACTGAGGGACTGGCCATGCCAGCAGATATGTTACAAGAAGGGGGATACTGGGTGCTAGAAAAATTCCATCTGGGAGCCAAGACGCTGTCTCAGTCCCCTGGGCTCTGCTGGGCTACAGACACCATCAGTGAGAAGAACCACCTTAGGAGAGCTGCCTTTAGACAACTGCTCCTTGTAACGAGGCTAAAAGAGGCAGTTAACTTAAAATAACAATAACATTGACAGAGAGACATCCATCTGCTTTTGCTGTAGGGAAGATCCACTCAGAGATGAGGCTTTGAGCAACCTGGTCTAGTGGAAGGTGTCCCTGCTGATGGCAGAAGGGTTGGAACTGGATGAGCTGTAATGTCCCTTCCAACCCAAACCAGACTGGGATTCTGTGTTTCTATAAAACCTCCTTCATTTTCTCAAACAGGTTTGCCCCAACCCAGAAAGAATCTGGAGGACGCTCTCCCTGTAGGATGGACTCACAGGTGTAATGGGTGCCACCCTTACAAATGCCAAAGCCACAAGTATTCATCATCCTGGCGTTTCAGCTGATGCCAGCACAGGAGCAGCAGGTTTTCCTTCCTTCCTTCCTTTCCAAACTGCCTGTCCTGCTGTGCAAGGTAATACCAGGGCACGTGAGAAAAACAAAGCCAGCAGCAGCTCAGCCTCGAAGCCCAGCCACTGTCTGCTTGTCCAAGAGGTTCGAGATGGCATCTACTGACCACCTCTGCCTTGAAGCAAAGACCCAAAACCCTCTCAAGCCTTCACGATCGTATTCCCCTGAGGATGCACGGATGGGCAGAGCCATGCCCAGACAAAAGCCAGCCCTGCCCAGACACCTACCACCACGTAGACAGCCTTCTCGCAGGCCGTGCCCACGGGAATCCAGCCGTTGGTCGCTCTCCGCCGGCTAATGCGCTGCTGCTTCGGGTGGGAATGAGCTCCCGCCGCTTTGCTGTCGGAGGCGTGGAGACAGCCCGTCGTATTCCGGAGACCAGATTTGGAGCCGCTGGGAGGTTTTGAGCTCTGTGGACATTCTCGGGCCATGGTCTGAGGATCAGAGTTGGGGGTCTGCAGATGAGGAACAGGTTCTGCAGCCGGTGGCACGCTGGGTACAGGACATCCTGAGAGCGGGTGGGCAGGCGATGCGGGGTGTCCTGCCACAGGGATTGTGAGGTTCAGCTGGTCCAGAGACTTGCAGCCTTCTATCAGAAGGGGAGAAGAGAGACACGTGTGTCATTTCAAATACAAGACAACTACACAATCAAGACCATCCCCAACTACCACCGCTCTCCCCTGAAATTCCCATTATTGCACGACAGCAGTAAAGATTCTTCATGTTGTCATTTCATTTTGCACTGTCACTGGATTCTCCAAGCGAAGCTGTTTCTAAGCCTGCGATGCTCCAATATGTTGCTGCCGATGACACCGCACTACAACAAACCCATCTGAAATCCCCCGAGTAATGCCAGCCAGTGCTACACACGGGGCTGGCCCGTGGCCAAAGCACTTCCAGCCTGTCAATACGTATAAAAGAAATAAAAGGCTTATCAAAATGACGGGAAGGATTAAACCACACTAGCAGAAGAAGCCAGCTTCCTTTAAAACGCCAAATTCTACTAATCAGGGAAAATTGAGAAGATTCTCCAAAATAACTCCAGAAATATGAAACAACGTGAAACAAAACTCTGTAAGATGATGCACGCTGCTGCCTTCAGCAAAACCACGTCCCTAAAGCAGATGCATTCACCACACCAGGACAGTAAATCGGCTGACGCTGCCTCTCAAAAGCTTCCCAGAACACTCACACCGCTCCAGGAGTCACCCAAGCCCTCAGCCCCAGTGTGTCCCACAGAACAGCAACTCAGATTTG